CAAAATTTCTAAAAAATAAGATAGGGATTAATGATTTTTGAGAATTTTTGACAATTAAAATTCATATCAATCATGATTTTCTTTTTCTATAAACAAAATATTCACAATTAAAATTGTGACAAAAAAAACATGTAAACTAGTGTTTGTGATGATTTTTTTCATCATCAAAATTCAAACTCGTAGATATATATAATAATGGTGACAAAAAAAAAAGAATATATATACAGAATAAAAAGATTGAACAAATTTAAAATTATTTTGTTCTTCTAGTTATTTCCATAAACTAAACATATTCATTTTTCATAGCAATTTTTTAAAAATACCATTTCTGAAATGACACTTTTCAAAAAAAAAAAATTAAAATTGTTACTAAAATTATTCATTTAATCAAAATATTATTTATTTTTGGATTAAGGTTTAGAATTTTTTTTTGTCAACCAAACTATATATCTATACTAATAAAAAACACCATTATAATTGGTAATCCAATTCGGCGGCAAGTTACTTACATACGAAAAATCAAAAATTCTAGTGCGTGCAGAACGGGCTAAACAGTCCGTCTTTAAATTATTAGAACGGAAAACAAAAGATAACGAAAAATTTGGCATACGATCTTGGATACTCCGGAGCTTGTCTGACAAAATCGAGTATACAGGCCACTCTGCTGGATTCCGTACAATATCCACAAAGTCATAGCAATCAGTCTCAAAAGTATGGCATTCTATTCCACTCTCCATCAGGCATGACATCGCCCAAATCAAGCCTTCCATTTCTGAATGTAGCGGCGATCTCCTTTGTCTTAATCTCTTTGCCCCTAATAGAATAGGAAGGTCACATTGGAAACATACCCAACCCAACCCTGAGGTTACATCTGTATCCTTCCAGGACCATCCACTTGACACCGAAAATGACTCACTGAATGAGCCACTACTTGGGGGTCCTCCCTAGCCGTGATCTCCACCTCGGGTACACAAATTTGTGCATATGTCCATGCCAAGAATTCACTCTCCGCCAACTTAAATATGTCTATCGGCTCAGTTTCAACCCCTTGA